TCTATAACATCTTCCTGGTCTTCTTCCCATCTTTTGACAAAATCCTCTTCATTTTCTTAGTTATTCTTACCCTTTAAAACCCTTTTTTGTTTTTTATCATTTTTTTTATTATATTTTTACTATTTTTTTTTTTCTTTCTTTTCATTTCATTTTCTTATTATTTTTTCTCTTCTTTTCTTCTTTTTATTCATCCTCATTTCTTATTCATGGTTTGGACTCTTTATCATCCTTCTCTTCCAAAACCACTCAACCTGTTTTGTAATGAAAAATATCAAATTGGTAGAAACCAAAACGCACCAGATGGTTTCATTTTGATTCACCTCCCACACCACAGTATTAGTGGAACTCATCTTCACATTGAAATCAAAAATTATGACACTCATTTAAGAATGCATCCAATTAGAATTACTGACTTATCTACTTATGGTACTTTTTTTGGTGGTACAGAACGTTTAGAAAAATCTCGTCATTATACAATAACAGAACGTAGATTCATTTTAAAACTTGCTTCAGAGCCAAAAGAAATAGAATTAAAGTATACAAACTATGACTTTTATTGTCTTGGAATTATTCCTCCTCAACGTGTACAAACAGAAATTCTTCGATTTGGAATGGTTGTTGAGCAAATAGAAGATTGTTCTCATGTTGTTTGTAAACAAATTATGGAAATTGAAGAGACTGCAATTGGATTAATTTGTGGAAAAAAGTTTATTACTCAAAAATGGTTTTCAGCATTACAAGATATTGAACATTCATTTCCTAATGAAAAAGAATTTTTCCCTCCAAATGAATATCCAGAAAATGGTGAAATTCCATGTAATGATGAACGAAAACATTTATTTAACCAATGGTCATTCATTGGTGGAGATGAAAATACAACTGGTTTAGTTAGATTATGTGGTGGACAATCTGGTATTAATAGGCAATTTGTATGTTATGTTGAGGATGGAATATCAACAGATGAGCTTTCAATTGATCATTACAGAATTACACCAGATGATTTAGTTAAAGCCATTATCTATGAGAATCTTCAGATTATTCAACATACTCATATTGTTATTAAAAATGATCAAAATGAAAAATCAACACTCATCAATATAGAAGATGATAGTTTTACTAAAGAACAAGATATAAAATATGAAACATTTGAAGAGCCAATGACAACTGAGATTTCATTTCAATCAAGAAAGGTACCAATAGAAGTGGTTGATGTTGATTCAAATAAAACAATATTTTGTGAATTTGGAAATAAATATTCTTCAACAGAAAATGAAATACTTAACCAAATCAAAAAAGAAGAAACTAAACCAAACTTAAATAGTCAAATAAGTCGTCAACATCTTTTAAAACAACGAATATCGAATTTACCACAACAATCTTTCATTGAAGAAATTAAAGAATTTACAGAAATAACACCAGATATACCATTAGCAACTCAAATAGTTCATTTTAAACCAAAAACAATTTTTAAGAAACAAGTAATGGTAAGATATTTATCAGATGATATTAAATTTACTTTTGTAAGCTTCAAATGATTTTCTTCAAGTTCATTTTGTTTTAAATGTATTTGTTATTTTCTATTTTTTATATAGAATAACTAAAAATTCCAATTTATGGAATTAGAAGACTTAAAACAACAATTTGATGTATATCTAGAAATTGTTGGAGTTTGTAAATAAAAAAGAATATCAGAACATTCATAACATTAATCAAATAGGATGATGTAGAACAAGTTGGAGAAAATGAATGGCAAACTACGATTGAAGATGAACATCATTCAAATATTAGTATAATTCTTACATTTAAATTAGATGAAAGTAAGTTGCCATATTTCACAAGTTCAATAGAATTACCACCATTTTCTGATTTTATTGATTTTGACAGATTTAAAATGAAAAATAATGAGATGATTTCAGTTTGTCATAATATCAAAATTTTTTCATTTCAATGAGATATGATAATTGATCATTTAGAATTTCTTAGTTGATGAAGAATCACCATTCTTTAATTTATATACTACACTTAAAACATTAATAGAAGAATGGAATGATAAACAAGGAGAAAGTGGTTCATCATTATTTGAACGATTAGAACGATTTGATGAAATACCAGTTCAAGATTCAACAAACGAAAGTAAAAGTACAACAAATTATAGTCAATCTGTAACTATATGGAAAGATTTTCATTATGACACATTAAGAATATCAACAACAAAGAATAAATTAGAAGTTATTGAAAAGATTCTTGATGTTCTTAAAACTCCTGATTATAAATATATTGAAAAATATACTATTGTACGTTATTATAATGATGAAATATGGTTAATGAAACCATGTACAGGAAGTGTTTTATTTGATATAATATTTAATATTGATAATATCTCACAACCATTATCTCAATTAATGAAGGCATTCCAATATCTTTATTGTCATGGATTATTTCATGGAAATGTAACAAAAGAAAGTATTGTTTATACACCATCATCAAATGTTAATGTTGCAGATTGGGTTATATTATATTTATTAGAAGGGAATTTATATCCAGATTCTCCTCTTTTAAGAGGAAAGTTTGTTATTAACTTAACTATATTATTCATAATATAAATCACTAAAAAGGTAAAATTAAAATAGTAGTATTCTCAAAAAAGACTTAGAGGCAATTGCTTCTTTAATTGAAGAAACAATTGGTGGAATGAATTTAAGTGTTCAATTGACTGGATTTATTCAAGCATTAAGAAATCATAATTCAATTGACTTAACATCATTAATTAAATTGGCACAACAAATACCATCAACAACATCAAGTTCATCTATGTTTGAATTAGGAGGAGAATATGAAGAGGCATCAGCAATATCAGAAATGATTGGATTTCGAGCATATTATAGAAATAGAGATAATCAATTTTATTGTTTTCAAGATATTGACTTAACAAGACTACCTGTTCATATCATCCCTGAAGTAAAAACAAGATTGTATAAATTTTGTCAAACTCATAACAAATATTTTCAATATTACTTTTTTTCTCAACCAATCTTAATGGTAAGAATGTCAATTACTGAAGTTCCTTTAAATTGGTATTTACAACAAAAGAAATTATTACAAAATAAAGAATTAACACGAAAATGGTTTATAAGAATAACAAGTAGTATTTATTCATTACATCAAGAATCAATTGGTCATGGTTCATTATCATTAAAACATATCTTTATTAAAGATGATGAAATAAAATTAGCATTTTTTGATTTAATTACACCAATATCAACAGTAATGGCAAAAGATTTAATTTCATTGAAAAAATTATGGATCATTTTGGGATGGTATTATTTCTATGAAACTATGAAAGAAAATGAATTAGAGAAATCATCATTTTTAACTAAGTTACAAGTTATCTTTCCTGAAACAATTAATATTCAAAAAGCAAAAAGTGTAGAAGAAATAATGTCTATAGTTCAATCATTTGATCCAAAAACGAAACAAATTTTTCGTAATTTATTAACAGAACAACCTCTTCTTTTCACATTAACAGAGTATTTCAATCAACAAAAGAATATTAGTAAAAAAGTTAATGAATATAAACCATATTTTACTACAATTGATGATTTATATTGTAATAATTGTACTTTTGTTCCTGCTGATATAATTTCATCATGTCAATATAATAAAAATAATAATGTTTATTTAGCTTCAAATGGATGTCTCTATAAATTTAATATAACTCCAATATCCATCACTTGTAAAAATGATTCTCCTTTTATTTATTCACCTTTTATCAAAAATAAATCATATGGAATTGAAATGTCCAGTACAAATAATGATCGAAGTACTTTTTCTGATGTTCTTTTAAAAACATTATTTTTATCAAGGTCAATGTTAGTTATGATAGATGGTTCAGCGTATTCACTTCATTATAATTTCCCAACATATCTTATTGAATTAGCAAAAGCATTTAATGTTCAAGTTGATGTTTGTCAACCATATAATTATTTATATTCTCAACTTAAAAGTTTGTCAGTCACTATCCCTTTATTAAAACAAATATTAAATACTAACGAAACAACAAAATTAATAAAATTAATGGAACTAAGTCCTAAATTAAAGAAGTTAGAAACAATTATTAAAAATAATACAATTTCTTCTCTTCTTGCTAATGATGAAAGTTATTTATGTTTTAATGTTTTCTGTATTGAATGTAAATCAATTAGAACATGTCCACATGCATTTTTATGTTGTATTAAAAATTTGAATGATGGTACAACTGTTGGATATGCTACAACTGTTGATGTCTTATTAGAGCCTGATTCATCTCATCAATCTTTATTTTCAACATATGAAAATACTACATTAAAATATATCTCAAATTCAGTAGAACAAAAGGCAAATACACCATTGAATCAACAAATAACAAAAGAAGATATTACTCAACGTACTAGACAACAATCATCATCTAATAGAAAAGTTGATTTAAATTTATTCAAACAAAATGATCTTGTTCATTCAAATGAAACACAAAAACTTACTCCATCTTCTCAATTATCATCAACTCCATTATCTGGGTGTTATTATCCACTAGAACAACATCAAGAATCAATAAAAGAAATGAAAGAAACAAGTTATGGATTTGTATGTGATTTAATTGTTTATTCAATCCAACCAACATCGCAACATGAATATACTTCTCAAATGATGATAGTTTCAAGTATAAAAAGTGTAGAGCCATTGAAATTAGCACGTAATTTGAGAAGTGAGGGATTTACAGTCCAAACATTATTCAAAGAAGATATCAAAATGGAAGAGGCAAAGAAAATGATAAAAGATTATAACTGTGATAAATTGATTCTTTTTGATGGAGGATTTAAAATTATCAATGAGGATGAAATAATAGAAATAAAAAATATCAATGAAGTAGTTTTGGAAATTAAATCAGGAAATCCAATTAATTTTGAATATACAACACTAAACAAAGTAGATATTGGAAGTATTATGTATAATGAAACATCAATCAAAGACATGCATCCAGAAATAATCAAAGCAGTAATTGTATCTTTTGAAAATGAAGATGCTTTTATTAAGAAATGTCCAACAATCAAAAAGTCTTTTGAGATAAATCAAAACACAAAAGATTCACCACAAGTAATGGTTATTCTTAAACAATATGATGAGGAATATGTTGAATTTATTGGAAAGAAGGAGAGGAAGAAAAAGAAATAAAAGAAATGTTTTTTGAGAAAAAAAAAGAAATTTTGTTTTTAAAAAGAGAAAAAAAGATAGAACTTAAAAATTAAGAAAAGAGAAAAAGCAAAAAAAAAGTTTTTTGTTTTTGATAAATCATTAAAGAATAGTAAAAAATAGTAAAAGAATAATAAGAAAAAAGAATTAAAAGGAAGAAAAACTAAAAATGAAAAATAAATGGAACCAACACCTATTGAACAATTAGAACCTAATATTAATTTAAATGGAGGAAAAACAAAAAAGAAAAAAAGAGATATTGCAAATGAGGATGTTGAGGAAATGGCACAAGCATTGTACATTTATTGGAAATCAAGAGATATTGTTAAAGCTGGAGAATGTGATTATGATGAAGCAAATGAACGAGCTGAGATTATGTGGAAAAATGAAGAGAATGAAAAGATATTAGATGATTTCAGAAAAGCAGCTGCAGTTCAAATTGTTATGCTTGGAGGTGAATATATTGGAAATAAACGAAAAAGACAAGTAAGAAGTGAATTTGGTAAGAATCGAGCTGAATGTAATCCATTTTTATTATTCTGTAGAGACCATAGAGAAAATGTTCGTGAAAAAGGAAGTAGAGGAAAAGGAATGACAACGTTGTCATCAATGTGGAAGGATTTACCTGAAACAGAAAAAATTCGATATGTTGAACTTGCTAAAACAAATAAAACAAAAGAAATTCATGTTGATAATGTTAAGCCTGTTGTTGATGATATGCCAACTCTTACTCCAATGCCACAACAATCACAAGAAGGAATAGGGCCAATGCCAAGTGTTACACTTGATGTTATGGAAATGAAAAATATGAATGAATTTTTACCTCCTACTCTTTAATTGTGTTGTTTGTTTTAAAACTTTGATTTTATTTTTTATATAAACCAAAAACTAGAGTAATGA